TATAGTAGAGGAAATTTTTAATAAGTTAAGTAAGGGTAAAAAGTTTTCAAAAATTGATTTACAATCTGCTTATATGCAATTTAAGTTGGACGAAGAATCCAGTAAGGTACTGACATGGAACACTGAACGGGGTCTATATAAAATCAAACGCATGCCCTTTGGTATAACGTGCGCGACAAGCATTTTTCAACGAGAAATGGAGGAAATGTTCAAGGGTATGGATTTTGTTGTTGTATTTGTAGATGATGTGGTAGTTACAGGCGAAGATGACCAAGAACACCCGGAAAACCTAAACAAGGTGTTATCGAAGCTAAATGAGGCTGGGCTGACTGTAAGTCAGGGGAAATCTTCTTTCTTCCAGGACGAAGTACAATATTTGGGTCTTACTATCAACAAAAATGGGTTAAAGAAGACAAAGGAAAAGATTAGGGCCGTCGTTGACGCACCTAGACCCTCGAACATTTCCGAAACTAGAACTTTTCTGGGCTTAGTAAACTACTACCACAAGTTTATACCTAATGCGGCAGATGTACTATCACCAATCTATGACTTGTTGAAAGACACACAAAGTTCAAGTGGGATAACTGCTTAGTTAAATTACAGATCATTTACTGAAAATAAAATGGTAATTTAAATTGTAGGTAATGTTAAAACACCTAAACAGGGTGCACCATCCTTCTATGTATATACTTCAATAAGTATTTCTTTTATTTAAGGAGCTACAATATCGCATAAAATAGAGAAAAGTTGAGTAATTACTGTAGTGTACGCCCGGTATAGTATCGCTACAAGGCGCATGTCCGAGTAGAGGTGCCGGGGAACGTGAGTTGACTGTAAGAGACGAACAAGACATATACTATTGTATATTACCTCATGTGATAATAAATCTTAGTAATTAAGAAGAGAGCTTTAATGAAGAACATACCTAATACAATACATATCAATTACAACGCTATTAGCATAAAATTAATAAATTGAAAAAATAGCCAGCGGGTCCCTTTATATTTGAAAAAAAATTAAATAAATTAGATAAATTAGTCCATCACAAATTGGATAAAAATGTGGATAAATGTGTATTTTTACATGTAAAACTTACTTTTTTAAAATTACCAGAAATATTGTTAGTTAGTTAGTTATAAAGATTTTTGGTTTTTAGTCCAGGAAACAAAGATTGTAGAAGGAAACTCGATGGTAGTCGGGTTTTATTTTTTATTATGTAGAGTCAGGGGTGCTGATAATGAATGAAAATTTCTTTCCGCGTCCCCTAATTTCATCCCCCGAAAGGGTAGTTTTTTTGCTTTTAGGCTCATAACTCGCTAACCGTGCATTTTTTCAGAATTTGACCTCTAATAATTTTGATTATGTGCTAAATAAGGCACAAGTTAAACCCCATTGCGCACCTATATGATGTGCCCTTTTGCTATGCGCAGTGTGCAAAGTTGAGCGTTGCTTTCAAAATCACTTTTTGTTTTTTTATTATAGCCCAATTTTCAAAGTAATCGATCCCAAACCTTACTGTAATCAAACATAACCGAATGGACGATTTTTTGAGGTACTACACTTTTTTCAAAAGTTACTGCTTTTCAATGTTCTTAAAAGAACATTAATGATAAATGTTTGCATTTTTTATGTTTGTTAGTTTTTGATTGATGCTCAAAAAATAGCAAAACATACAAAAATGCAAACTCCTATTTTTAAATTTTACAAAGAATATTAATGAGAAATGTTGAGTTAAGCTATGAAAATGCATGAATTAAATAATATCATTGTTTAAAAAAAAATTTAATATTTATTTTTACTTTCATTTCATAAAGATTTTTGGTTTTAACAGGTTTTAAATTTTTTTCAAATTAGTTAAGAAGCGCTGATTTTTTTAAATTTTTAAATACCATTTTAATAGACTTGTAATCACGCAACTTTTGTCTAATTTAACTGACCTGGTAGCTATTCAAATAAAAAATATACCCATACATAAAAGGATACTTGATGCACCCTGTTTAATACGTATAGGTATTTGTTTGCATTTTTTATGTTTTGTCAGTTTTTAGCGTATTTTTTACGCTAAAAATAAACAAAACATAAATAGTTCCAACTTACTCCTATTTTTAAATTTTAAAAAGAACATTAATGAGAAATGTTTGCATTTTTTATGCTTGTTACTAACAAGTTGTTAGTTTTTGAGCTTATATGTATTATACGCTTAAAAAATAGCAAAAGATTCAAAGAATATTAATGAGAAATATTGAGTTGAGCTATGAAAATGCATGAACTAAATAATATCATCGTTTAAAAAAAATATATTAGTATTTATTTTTACTTTCATGAAAATTTTATAAAGATTTTTTGTTTTAACAGGTTTTCAATTTTTTTCAAATTATTTAAAAAGCGCTGATTTGTTTAAATTTTTAAATGCCATTTTAAAAGACTTGTAATCACGCAACTTTTGTCTAATTCAACCGACCTGGTAGCTATTTAAATAAAAAATATACCCATACATAAAAGCATACTTGGTGCACCCTGTATAGTACGTACGTATAGGTATTTGTTTGCATTTTTTATGTTTTGTCAGTTTTTGAGCGTATTTTATACGCTCAAATAACGAACAAAACATAAAAAGTTCCAACTTACTCCTATTTTTAAATTTTAAAAAGAACATTAATGAGAAATGTTTGCATTTTTTTATGTTTGTTAGTTTTTGAGCGTGTAGGTATTATACGCTTAAAAAATAGCAAAAGATAAAAAAATGCACACTCCTATTTTTAAATTTTACAAAGAATATTAATGAGAAATGTTGAGTTAAGCCATGAAAATGCATAAATTAAATAATATCATTGTTTTAAAAAATATATTTATTTTTACTTTCATGAAAAATACTTATATATGTAGGTAGGTACCAATTTTTGGAAAAGGGAAAATAAATAAATTAATATTACAATTTCGATAACTAACCAATCTTTTGCATGATTTTCAAACTTTAGAACAATTGTTTTAAGTTTAAATTAATTTTAGTAGGTAATTATAATGATTTGTTTTTTTCTGATCGCTCTGTATAATACCGAAGACATTTTTAAAACAAATAAAGAATGGAGACTTTGCTATTATGTTTTTTTTTTGTTCGCTTTTTATAAGCATACGTGTGAACTTACTAAACACTGATCTCGGTGGCGGCTGGTGGACTTTGGGTATACCAATACCTCAGTTATTAGACATGGGACCCACACCAAGTTTATAATAGACATTAAATAGACAAGTTCGGCGCAAACAGAATTTAAATTGAAGTTTGCGACAAAAAGTTAGTTTTTCGTGTCGCCTCACCCGCCTCCTGGCCCCCCCTATTAAAGATAATTCAAATTAAAGTGGTGAAATTTATTATCTACTATAATATGTATAGACAAATTTAAAATTTTATTTAAAAAATCCAAATATTACAGATTTTATACCATTTGAAATATTTTTTTATTTTAATAATATCGACAAATTTAAAATTTTCTTTAAAAAAATCTAAATATTACATATTTTATACCATTTGAAATATTTTTTTATTTTAATAAAATAAATAATAAAATTTTTAAATCGTATCAAATCTGTAATACCTATTTGGATTTATATGAATTAAAAAAAAAAATATTGCAGCTAATCATAAAAATGACCTCTTAACGTAGAAACCCGTATAAATTTATAAATTTGACGATTCTTATTGTTGATAGTTTAATTTTTGTAATTAAAGTAAATTTACACAAATGTTTTTGACAGAATCTGAAAACCCTAGCTGTTAGTTATTTTTAAATATGACAGTAAAAGTATCTACAAAAATACCGTTCTTATTGGCATTAATTAAAGAAGGTCAAAGTCAACGTTATGTGTCTAATTAATACTAACACTGTATCCAAGGCGTTGGCTTTAAAACATTGTATCTTCGCAAATAACAGAGATTGTAACAGTTACATTAACGTAAATAATAAAACAAAATGTTCAGAAAATATAAGAAACTGTAGGTTTGTTTCCACATTAGTTTGAAACTTGTTTCTAATGTTTGGATTGTGCATTCGGTTTTTTGTGTTCGCAAATAACTTTGCAACTTATTTCAAACTAGGTGGTTGTTTTCGCATCATTTCCTGACAATTTGGCGACAGTCCGAACAGTTTGAGGATTATGTTCAAGCAGATTGTTGGCACATGCACATGATACAAATTAACGTCCTTACAACAACCTTTGAAAAGCTTAGTGACATTTTCGGGCTTTAGCCTCCCGTAATTTATTAATATTGTAGTTACTAACCTTTTACTTAACACGAAAATGTCACTTTGCATGTTCATCCACATTTAGTTAGTAAGTTTAGTATTTTGTTGCATTATTTTGGTTTAAATATATTTTCTTTTAATAAATACTTCTTATTTAATATTTTAAATACTAAACAAGTTAGTTATTTAACTAAAAGAAAATAATGCAAGTTGCATTATACAACAAAAAAATTAAACAAAGTAACATTTACTTAAATCACATGAATTCGAAAATAGTTGCGGATTTGTTTGCAACGTGGCATTTGCACAAGAATGGTTTGAAAATTGTAAGAAACATGTTTTGGGGCGAAACAATTAATAGCTTTTGCCTAACGATAATTGCAACTCACACTTTTTTCCAAAGTTTAACCCTTAGTTTTACAAGCACAGATCAGATCGCTGAAAGTGCTTAAATCTATCCAAAAGATTAAGTACCAGAGGTGTTTTAGTGATTGGATGGCGAAGTGTGTAATAAATAGTGAACTTTAATGTCGACGAATAAATAAAAGATTTTGTGGCCTTAAAAGTTATAATCCGCTGGTCTAGAATACCTCATAGAATCAACCATTTACAAGCAGAACATTAAAAAGACTACCTACCACTACTAGTCCAGGGACGAAACTACTATGGAGCAACTGAATTACCCCCTATTTCCCACAGTCGCCACTACTTAGTTTTAAAACGCTCGTTATATGCTAATAATAAATTTATTATACTTACCACTTACAATAAAGGGTTCATTTTTATTCCAATTAATGACATTGACATCACTTGTATGTGCCTTTTCAGCGGTCAACATACAAGCTTTACTAGGTGAGGCTCTGGCATCCCATATTCTAATACTTGAGTCAACCGAACATGATGCTAATACATTAGGTTCGTTTGGCGACCACTGAAGATCTTCCACTGAATTAGTATGACCTACTAGGGGTCTTTGATCAACCTTCCATTCAGATAATTTATCACCTGGTTTCCAAATATGTATATCTCTATTACAGTCGCCAGTTGCCAACACCTAAAATTTTAATATATTTAAAATAGAGTTGGCAATGTATATTCTGTATTGTTGATTGTTTCGACCTTTACTTGATAAAACTCCATATTATTAATATATGAATAAAAACAACTGTTTTAAAGTTTCACTAATTTATTTATGTTTTTAATGATTAACAATTGTTTCGCTACACAGTAGCTTCTTATTCTATACCCCAGAGCCAAACTGTATTTAGTCCATTTTTTAAATCAAGTGACATATTTTTTGCCTACATTCTTCCGCTCTTTCCAATGGTAAACAGGATTAAGTGCTGGCTTACTTAGTTTTTTTATATATCAAAACCAAGTCAGGACCTACTTCTGTTTACTATTTTAATAATAATAATAATAGAGTTTATTGCCCAACAGTTTACACCATAGTAGGACATTCATATTATATAACAAAGAGGTTTACAAAAAAAATATTTAAAAAAAATGTGAACAAACTTATAACTAAACTTTCAATCAGATTTATACATCATTAGAATTTACAATCGCCCTGTGAATAGTTTTTAATGAACAATAGTTAATATCACAATTAGTTGATATTTTATTAAAGTTATTAAACATAACATGTAAAGGTGATTTAATAAGTACATTGGTACGAGCAATCGGACACTTGAAGGTATGGTTCTGGCGACTACTGGTTCTGGGAATCAAAAAATCAATTTGACCTAACAGGTCAGAACAATCTATTTTATAATTTACAAGATTATACAAAAAAGACACTGACAAGATCTTCCTTCTGTTGGATAAAGATACAAAATTAAACGAATTTAGCAACAAAAAATAAAAACTTTAAAAAGCGTCTCTGTACAGACTCTATATGATTTATGTGGCAAGCGTAAATAGGTGACCAAACCACACTCGCGTATTCCAATTTACTTCGCACTAGAGTAAAATATAGTAAATGCAATGTTTGGGTTGAGTTAAATCCCCTACTGTTTTTAATAATAAAGCCAAGTGTTCTAAAAGCTGATTTGGTAATATCATTGATATGAGAAGCAAACTCAAGTTGGGGATCGAATACCACGCCAAGATCTTTAAATGAACTGACTCTTTCCAAAGCAAAATCATTAATTTTATAGCTAAAGTATATGGGTTTATTCTTGGTTGTGTAGCACATAACTTTGCATTTTGAAATATTCAAGTTTAATCTGCGCAATCTACGCAATCACCCACACATTTTATCTGCTCATACATTTTTAGATCATCTGCATACAACAGCTTGAAACAATTGATTTTATTAGGAAGGTCATTTATAAACAAAAGAAACAGTAGGGGACCCAAATTAGAACCATGCGGCACTCCCGAAGTGGATACAAAAGAATCTGAATAAAATCCATTGAATGCGACAATCTGCCGTCTATGTGATAAGTAAGATGTAAAAAGGTGGACAATAGTGTTATCAAATCCAAAATTATAAAGCTTTCTTATGAGTATTGAATGATCGATTTGATCGAATGCTGGAAATCGGTATAAACAACGTCCAACTGCCCGCGATTATCAATGGTTTTACTGGCAAGTTGTGTGAAACTGACAAGATTGGACGAAGTTGATCTTTTTTCCATAAAGCCGTGTTGACTTGGTGAGAGCAGATGCTTAACTTGAGAGTATACTTTGAGTAAATAATTGATTCAAAAATCTTTGCAAAATTGTTAATAATTGATATGGGCCGATAATTTTCAACTTGGGAATTGCTACCTTTTTTTAAAACAGGGGTTATTTTTGAGATTTTCCATGAGCTTGGAAAGACTCCTGATTCTTAAATTTTATCAAAAATAATTAATAATGGGGTCAAAAAGGCGCCACAACAATCCTTCAAAAGAAAACTGGGAATATTGTCATTACCTGCAGTCATTTTGTCTTTTAGCTTTTTAATGGCATTTCTGATATTAATCTCCTTAATGCTGGAAATATTTATTGTTTGGTAGGAATTGGGATTTATAATATCATAGTTATTATTAGAAAATGCACCAGAGTCTATATAAACACTACTAAAATAGGTTGCAAAAGCATTAACAATATCTTTGGGATGACTATACTCCAAGTTGTTAAAAGTGACCTTACCTGGGATACGTGAAGAACCCTTTTTAGAATTTATGAAAGACCAAAAAGATGTCGGGTTATTTTTAATATTTTGTTCTATAGTTAACTTCTGTATGCATCTGATATTTGAGTTTTTGCATTGGTCCTTGATTCCTTAAATAAGGTTAGATATATAGGTTTAGATGTTTTTCTATATTTTTTGTGATTATGTTTTTTTTTTGTTTAGGTTTTGTATAATTTGTCTATTAAACCAAGGGGGATAAACATGATTACTATTGATATATTTCTTTAATGGAATAGAACTATCAAATATTTGAAATAGCTTGATATACAACATATCACACATTTCGTCAACAGTATTGCATAGTTTTAAATTCGACCAATCAATTTTTAATATAAAATCATAAAGGAGTGGAAAATTAGCCTTTTTTAAATTATAAGAGACATTTTGATTATTGTGATTTAAATTTAATTCAGGGCATGAAAAATTTACTGTTAAGTGTAAAGGAGGGTGATAAGGATCCACATTTACTAAGGGGTGTTCTTCACGATCAGGTTTACATTCGATATTTGATAGGATAAGATCCAAAAGCCTATTTGATTGATTTTTAATATTATTATACTGCAGAAGGCATAATAGCTCAGTAAAATTATTTAATGCTTGGAACTTACTATCCCTATAATCATGAGATAAAATTAGGCACATTAAAATCCCCTAAAATGACAGTATTTTCATGAAAACATTCGAAACTGGATAATAAGTCAAAATTTTTTTGAAAATCTGTCATTGTTATTTTTGGTGGAATATGTATGACAATAAAATGGTCATAGCGGAAAAATAGTCAAAAAATTTGTAACTTGATTTAAAAAATGTGGACTTTTACAGTTTGGCTCTGCAGCAAAAAATAAATATACTTTTTAATCTTTGTCTGTGGTAAAGATATAAATGTCGGTTGCTAATAAATAAGTCAGTCAGACTGACTTATTTAAAATACATGTAGCTAGGTGTCCTATCAGTAATTGCAATTACTGGTATAAAATCAAGCTACATGTGTAGTCTGATCGGCGAAAGTTTTGACGTTACTTTACTCAACGGTTTTACCTTTCGTTATTAATTTCTTAACCAAACATATACATCTGCGTGCTGTGGCGCACAGAAATGCGATTCTGACTGGACAAAATTTTTTTTAGTGAAAATATCTTCCTAATACATTTTTTGTAAAAAAAAACCCTTAAAAATCACGTTTTTTAATATATTTTTTTTTCTCTCATAAAAATCGTTCTAAACGACTTTTGTTCAATATAAAAGTTAGGAACAATTAAATTTTGCTTCGATTGACTGCTAAAAATAATTGCAATTATTGCTAAATAAGCCGGAAGTTTAGTGAGTTATTGAGGTTAGAAGTTTTTCATTCGCGGAAACAACAATTGTTAATAATAAATTCTGCGTAGATGGACCACCAATTTTATGAAGTTACCCCAAAAGTTTAGAAATTAGAATTTACTACTGTTTTACACTAATATAAAAAAATATAAACACCTAGGTAATACGAAAAAATTATGAAATAAATTATACAAATTAGCATTTGCGAACACATATTATGTACCTACCTGTTTCTGATGGGTTTATGATAATTATGAAAGAGTGATGAGAAGACAAAATCGCTGACGAAGACGTAGTCGCAAGTATTTACATCTAAAGCCGGGTCTACAATTGTCGCAGGGTTCCGATCGCAGAACATAAGCTTGCGCAAACCACCCCGCGACGTGGCGATGGAGCAAGGTTCTTTTGTCAGCTGGGTGCTTTGCGCAAGCCTATGTTCTGCGACCTGCGACAATTGTAGACCCGGCTTAACAGGAATAAGTTTTCGTAGAGTATCGTCGTGTTTTGTTTATTTATGTTGTTTATTGTTTATTAATTTTGTTTTTTTTCTTTAATTATTTAATAATGCTAGAAATGCATATGAACAGTATGTTTCAATCAGTTAAAAGTTATCGTGAATGTAAATATGAAACAACATTTCGACGGCAGTCACGACAGCAAGAAGAGTACAAAAATTTCAGACCTTTTTAAGAAAAATGCGTCGTCGCAAATAGAAAATCCACTCTCTTAAAATTAAATAATCAAAATTCATCAAAATATTTGAATTAGTACCATCATTGTTAACTAATAACAAATTCAATTTATATAGTTACTTTAAAGTTTGACTAATTTAAGATAAGTCACGAATTTTACTGTTTCTAAGAGTAAAAAGTAACTAATTTCTCTAGTCGTTTTTAATTCTTGCGGTCAACAAAACTAACTAAAACTATTAAATGGCTCATAAAAACCAACACATAGATGCAAACTGTTTAGCTCAATAACAGCAACACAAAAAAATATTTAACTTTAAAATAATATTAACAATATTTATAGACAAATACATAACTGCTATTTATAAAATTGGCAATAACGTAGCTACGCTTGACAACCGAGAGACGCGAGTTTAAACCCCAGCACCATCACAATTTTTTATTTTATTTAAATCTACTAATTTGACTATTTCATTCGGTAAAATTTGACTAATTATTAGTGACTACTTTTTCGCTATGACAATTAGTCAAATATTATTTGTCATTTTTGACTAATTTATTTTTAGAGAGTAGATAAAACGTATTAATTATTTTGTCTCCTTCTTTTTGCGAACATATATATTTGTAACTGAACTTACAGTTCGCGCCTTGTATGTTGCGAGACTCGATGCATGTGGACGTAGCAGTTGGCACTTGTTTACTGCCATAGGCGTTCAACTTGAATTCCCCCACCAAATCCTTGAAGTAGGCAACCATTATGACACACAGGGAGTATTTAATTTAATTAATTTAAATTGTTGTATTTAATTAGTTAATACAAATTATTTAATATCTCTCTAAATAAAATGGGTTTTAGATGGT